TAATGCTTGTAAGGGAAAAAAATAATTACATGAATGGATGACAAGAAAAAGGAGCTGCATGACGCCACCTCAGCAAAGTCAAGAACCACGATGAACAAGAGCTCAGGCAGTCAGTAAGTTCACACTGTGAACGAAGAATGAGCACTATTCCGCATATACAGTTGCATTCATGGTGATAAAGAGATGACTAACGACATCCCCAGCAAACCTCAAAAAAGTACTTTCACTTCTAAAAATTCCCACACAAACCTCTAAAAGCAAACAATAGGTGCTGTGTACATTTACTTTGTGGAAATAGATTATTTTGTTGTGGCAGATTTGAAAAAGAGAAAAATGTTGGGAGAAGAATGAGGTGACTGGGATGTCCAGGGCTACAGTGGACATCCCAGGCCAAGCCCGACATAGCCCGCACGGATGTAGTTACATCCATCCCGGCCCAACTCACCTGTCCACAGTCATTCAGATTAGTTAAATGACCCAATTAATTGCCAGTCGAAGCAGCTAACAACAATGTCAGTTCAGTCTACCTTGACTTTCAAAGATAGGGCCGTCGTTATTCACAATTTGTCCTGCTATATGCAACTTCGAAATAGTTCTATTTGGTCATTGGTATCCCTTTCCATTCATTGGGTTATGCAATTTTCGTTTGATCATCCATGGGAAATCTATTAGAGTGTAACTTTCATCGATTTTATTTTCTTTTTTACTTGGAAAATTTCATATTTCTTAAGGCTCGATTTAATCGGTGAAGAATTAAGACTATAATAAAGTTTATCAAAATATTTTAATGTGGATAATATGATATATCGGTCCTGACCAACTATTTGTATTGACTATTGATGTAAGGAATATAAATACAAATAAATAATTTATATGCAGAATCTGTCACCAAAATTATTAAAAATAAAAAAATGACCCAAATTCATGTGAGGAGAATCTCACCAAATTTCATATATAATATGACAGAAAATTTAATGTAGAGAAACTCTCAACAATTATTGGTAATAACGTTACCACCCGATTCTCATCAATAATATATAATATAGATTGGTCTGTCATCACCAACACAATAATAAATGCTGATATCATCCCATTAAAATGCACCACATTTATAAGAGAGTTTCTCATAACATTCTTCAGTGGGGATGATTTTTGTTAATTGATATAAAGTATAGAATTTCGTATAATTTGTTTTTTTAGATAATTGCATGATAGATGGATATGTAGATATATAGTGATGTGCAATAAGCGGCGAAACAAACAATTTCCCAAAAAGATTTCTTATTCTCATTCTTTCTTATCTAGGATGGCGATGATAAGGTGTATAATGCGGGCCCGGGACGAGGTGGGATATGACCACCTCTGTCCCCAGCCTCCTCGAGGCTAGGGAATGTCATTGGACATGGGCTCGTCTTGGTCCTGACAGTTTTGGGGAATCCTTGCACTATTTGGATCAGGCGGGAAAATGTCCATCCCTAAATGAGGTCCAACCTATTCATCAATTGGTGTAAGTTTTATACCAAATTTATGTGATTTTTGGATAAAACTATTACATCTCTAATTTATTGTACAAATATTATACTAAAAAAATATTCTTAGAATATTCTCTTTCTTTTCTTTTGTTGTAATACAACAATTAATCTATTTCAATCCATTTTGTATATATTATTAAATATTGAGAATGATATTTTTATTAAATAATAATTACTTTGAAAATTATAATAATTTAATAAAATTAAACATTTATTTAATCAGATAAACTACATTTATATAGAAAAACTATACTATATAAAATGATACAAAAAAAAAAAAAAACACAAAAGTAAAATTTCATATTGATAGTAATTTATTTTTTGGAATTAGTATATTCTTCCCACAAATTATCAATTAATGCATTTCGAAGAGCATGGTGAGCCTCTGTGTTCTTGTTTGTCTATGTCAAAGAAAATTTTGAAATCGGACATTTTCATCTACGACAATTTCAACTTCGGGAGTTGGCGCTTCATCTGATTCTCAATCGATCATCAACATACGATCATCCTCGATTATCATGTAGTGCATAATAATACCGTAGTCATTATATTAGTAATACATTTTTATCCCAAAAAGGTGTCAGTCCTGCCATAATTGCAAATCGCGATTGGAGAACTCCAAACACCGTTCCACATCTTTTCTACATCCTCTTGTTCATTGCAAATAATTTTTTTTTTTTTGGGACCACGTGAATCGTGAATAGTTTGTACAAGAGTAGACCACTTTGAGTATATAACATCAGCTAATAATAACTCTATTCTATCTTTTCCTTGAATGCTATAATGCGAGACGGAGCCATACTTTAGGTTAGGTTGGCAACAAATGAGATGCCCCAACTCAAATAAGTCATGTTGGAACTTGGCAAACCAAAAACGCATGTCATATCAAAGATCATAATCAGCTACAACCTCGATAATAGTAGAGATCCACTACGGCCAGCATATTGTCTTGCCCAAGCTGTTGGCATTTTTCCACTTCCATGCATCCAATCTAAACTACCCAACATTCTTGGAAAACCACGTTGTTCACCAATAGAAGTAGCCTTACACATCATTAGCATATGTAATGCCCCGCTTGAGGTACGTAGTTAAGATTTATTGTATTGCTTAAATGTTCATTGATTCAGCTTTAATTGAGTTGTTTTTAGTGAATAATATTTAGTTGGCCCTTGGTTGAATGGATATTGGAGTTGGTTGATGGTGCCTGAAATTTGTAAAACTTGGCGAGTTTTTGTGTTACAGGACTTCGCCGAGCGAAGAAGAGCTTCGCCGCGGCGATGAAGCCCTGCAACCTACGTGTAGTTCTATAATTTTTCACCGGGAGAAGAAGATTCTTCGCCGCGGCGAAGGGCTTGACAAAATGTGTATTGAATTCTAGAATTCTCCTTGGGCACAATGACCTTTCTACCCCTAATTAGCAAGAAAAGTGGAGTAAAATGTAAGAAATATTTCATGGGAATAGGTTTAGTGTGGGGTGTAAGTGAAATGAATCAAAGGATATAGATGGATTTCCAAGGAAGAGCAAGGGCAAAGTTGGGAAGTGATGGTTATCTTATGAGCTAAAAGGGTTAAGTGTAATAAACCTCCATTTCATTCATTTCCACCGCCATAACCATCCTAAATTCTCTCAAGTTTCCTTTCAATTTTCCCAAGATTTCTAAGGGTTTAAGAGAGCTTTTGAGTAATTTGAGTAGAGATTCATCTAAAGCATCCTAAGGTAAGGATCTTGCTTTGATGGTTGAGTTTGCTTATAGTATATTGAAGTCTTATTGGTTGTTATTGTTCTGTTGTTGTTTGTGAGTTATTGTAGAGAAAGACAAGACAACGGGAGGAAAAGTCTAGAGAATCACTTTTTCACCAGGTAAGTAAATCCAACCCAAGTGGAGATTTAAGAACTCTTTTGAGTAGAGATTTATGTATGTATGAGTATATGTTATTTTCCATGTGTTTTCATTGTGTATCTTTATGAGTATATGAGTAGAAAGCGGCTATTACACATTAGTGATCTTATATCGTTCTGCAAATACCTCAACAGCACGACAAATCTCTTCAAACTTTCAATGGTTGTAGACTCCCTATTTTAATATACTCACAGTAGCATCCTGCTGTAGACCGTACGCCAACATCCGAATATAGCTGTATTTTTTGAAAAGACAGACAATCCCCCGAGTCCTACCCTTGTCATTGTGTATACAAAGTATGTTATCATGACCTTCACGTGATAACATACGAACATGAAAAATTCGAGACATCTCATAAATCATCGGCGAACATGGAACATAACCGGGATTCTTAGCAAAATATCGTGAACAGATTGCAATCAATATGTTTCCTTCTGCGATTGATGACTCATACCATGGAATATCCTCTATGGATCACCTGATTGTTCTGTTGCTTGAGATATGTAGAAGAAAGAGAGGTTGTTGTTACTCTCATGCGAAGGATTGCTTCTTGCTCTGCACAATTGCTTCAAGATCATTCATCAATTCCTCGTCATCAATTTTATTGTTGGAGAAATGATGACGAATTAGAAGATGATAAATGAGATGGACTTCCAAATTGAAATTCTCTTTGTAGATATATTAGTTGAATGATTTGGCGTGAGCTTTTATAGTTGAAGAAATATTATTCTAGATTAAAAATATAATTCAAAATGATGTATTGTCTATTCAAGCTTTTGAGATTTGTGGCTTATTCAAAAAGATGTATTGTCCATTTAAGCTTTGAGATTGGTGGCTTGTTAAAAAAGATGTATTGTCCATTCATTTTTGAGATTTGTGGCTTGTTCAAAAGATGTATTGTCCATTCAGCTTTTGAGATTTGTGGTTTATTCAAAAAATGTATTGTCTATTCAAGCTTTTGAGATTTGTGGTTTATTCAAAAAGATGTATTGTCCATTCAAGCTTTGAGATTTGTGGCTTATTCAAAAAGATTTATTGTCTATTCAAGCTTTTGAGATTTGTGGTTTATTAAAAAGATGTATTGCATGTCCATTCAAGCTTTTGAGATTTGTGGCTTATTAAAAAAATGTATTGTCCAGTTAAGTTTTTTAGATTTATAGCTATATCAAAGATGTTTGTTCATTCATCAAGCTCAAAAAGATGTGTTGTTCGTTCAGGCTTTCAATTCAAACTTATGTTATAAAAGAGCAACAACACATTAGTTTTGAACACATCTCTTATTTTTCCTCTTAGCAAAAAAAAAAAAAAAAAAAAACACATTTCTTCATTGTGTTACAAAATGACTACACAACGAAGTTCTTCGTACACAATGAAGATGACATGCATCTATGTCATATTATCTTAATGTTTCTCAAAACCCGATTTTAGGTATAAACCAATCTAGCGATCAATTCTGGTCTCGAGTTGAGCTTGACTACAACATTCAAACCCGTGTTTCTCACTCAAGTTCGAAACAAAAGATCTTTGCATTGTCGAATGCAACTGATCTTTAAAGTTATTAGGGAAAAGTATTCTTTCTTGACTTATTAGATGCATCCATTGTAGTTGAGCTAATATTATGGTGTCTACCAGAATTGATTCCCTCTAATTTTTATTTATTATTAAATCACATTTTCTTTCTTTTCCTTTCTTAATCAGTTGTTGCATTTGCCTTTTCTATTTTGTGCCAGGTGACATGGGTACTTTTTGTTACTGGGTTCAGGTCACACAATCAGGGTTCTTCCCTAAAGCCTCATGTCATAGGAAACCTTTTACATGACTGGTATTGGATAAATAACATAATACACATATATTCTAAAGCATATAAATGTTTCTCTGAATCATATATCCTATCTGGTTTTTGAGACAACTACTGCCCTTATAATTTAATCATTTTCAAAGATCCCTTTATAAATTTTGTTTAAAAAAAAAAAACTAAATTATCAATTCGTGTAACTGAAAATGAAAAAGTTAGTGTCCGTCAAATACTTTCTTTCTGTCTGTTTGGTCATTTTTAACAGTCTGTATTTAAATTCTTGATATTTTTACCTTGTACATAATTCTTTAGGTGGTTGGAATACAGTTGAATCCTCAGTTTATGGGCATTGATCTCAGGTATGTAATCCCTCTTGAACTTTCTGGGAAACTTTTCTTGTTCGTGTGCTTGACAATATATTGGAAGCAGTAATGACCATTATTTATTTTGATTTCTGTTGCTGTATATTCTTGAAATTGGCAGGCTCTACTGCAATTAATTATTGCCCTTACAATCAAAACTTTTCTTCTGTCTTCTAAGTTTTGGTTGTGTTGATCAATCTGAGTAATGGCATTGTTGACATAAATGTGTCTAATATACATGGTAAATTTTATTTAGAACACTCTGTTAATAGTGGGTAATTGAACGGACGGTAAAATGGAGGAAAAATTATTGTGAATGATGTTATTTTTCAAAGGCATTCAGAAAGCTGTTTCTGGTTAGATATCTTATAAAGAAATTTTTTTGATAATTATGTCACTTTTGTTGTGCAGATGAGTGTGGCAGGAGCCAGAAAAGCTGGTCAAAGTCAATATGGGTGGTTGAAGGAAGCATTGGATAGATTAGTAGAGCAACTAACGTCGCAACGACAACAACTTGATGAGGAATAACTGTTAAATCATTCTATGAAGCTAATCAAGAAAATCTGAATTGTAAATAAAATTTTGTTGAAGACAAAGAGATTGAATTTAGGGCGGATAAACTTGAGCTCGAACTAGTTGGGATGGAAGCAAACAAGAAACTATGACAACATTGAAGATTTTGGGCTATAGGAAAGAACAAAGATGTTTGCTATTTTGTTTATTGTTTCACTCTTTTGGGATTGGAATCCTGAAACTTACTTAGAAGATTCTGTGGTAGTGGGTAAGCAGGAATTGTAATGTCGACAGTTTTTGTTAATAAAGAAGTGCAATTTGATTTGGGGAACTCAGCTTTTGTTGTTTTGTTTGTTTATATAGTGAAGTGAAAATGAGTATGGGTATTATCATGAAGGAAAATTAGTAGGGTTGATTCATAAATTGGGATTAGGTTAATCATCATATTATCAACCCACTCAAGGACAAAATTTTTCATCCCCAATTCACCCCACCATGAGGGATGAAGTTCCTCGTCACCAATTCACCACAACATCAGGGACGAAAACTTTTGTCCCCAATGATTGATCCAGTTAGGGACGAAATTTTTTCGTCCCTAATTGTGCTTTTTTGGGGGCGAAATAGTCTCATTTGGGACGAATAATTATTCTTTTTTGGACAAAAAATTTCGTCACAAAATAAATAATTTTTAACGACGAAACCGTATTTCGTCCCCAATGGCATGGCTTTGGGGACGAAATGTTTTTCGTGGGCATTACCCTTTGGCGACGCGGCTTTGGGGACGATTTGGTTTATCGTCCCACATTACTTTTTAGGACGAATTTTGTACTTTATGTGACGAAAATTTTCGTCCCTAAATGTTAAATTTCTTGTAGTGCAACTTCTTTTTATTATACTTTAACCCACAAACATTTAAATCTTTTCACTCTAACCCTTTTTGTTGCTTTAATTACGCTTAAGTGTGTCAGGTCAGATTTTTAAAACAAAAAAAAAAAAAAAATCAAAAACCTTTTCAAGGTTATATTCTCAATTTGAAACTTGGGAAGACATATCAGTTAAATCTCCTCCAGAGTTGAAGCCTAGCCTGTTTAGTTGCTGATTAGTTGGTGTTCTCTAACCTTCTTGTAACGGCCTTCCAGCACCCCTACTCCTTCAGTATCAGGTTCATTTTGCTTATGCTGTAGTATCAAGTTCTTTTGCTTGGATTGAATTCAGTTTTGCTCGATATTATTTGTGCCTTACTTGAGTATCAAGTTCTTTTGCTTGGTTGAATTCAGTTTTGCTCAGGATTATTTGTGCCTTTCTTGAGGTTGCTTCAGCTTTATGTGGTTGATTCAAATTGGAAGCTGCTCCTGCAGAATTATGCTCAGTATCAATTTCTTTTGCTTGGATTGAATTCAGTTTTCTCAGGATTATTTGTGCCTTCCTTGAGGTTGCTTCAGCTTTAGTGGTTGATTCAAATTGGAAGCTGCTCCTGCAGAATTTGCTCAGTATCAAGTTCTTTTGCTGGATTGATTCAGTTTTGCTCAGGATTATTTGTGCCTTCTTAGGGTTGCTTCAGCTTTATGTGGTTGTTCAAATTGGAAGCTGCTCCTGCAGAATTATGCTCAGTATCAAGTTCGTTGCTTGGATTGAATTCAGTTTTGCTCAGGATTATTTGTGCCTTTCTTGAGGTTGCTTCAGCTACATTGCTTCGCTTTATGTGTTGATTCAAATTGGAAGCTGCTCCTACAGAATTAGCTCAGTTTTATTGTGGTTGACTTATTACTAGTTAAAAGCTGTCTCTGCACTATAGTTACTTGTAAACTATTGCTTCAGCCACGAATTGCTCAGTTCCACTGAAGGATGTTGTTCATCACCCAAGTCCAGTTTTACGGTAGGATATTAGCAAGAGTTGTGGTAGTCCAAAGTTGTTCTGTCACAGAAGGATGTTAACAAATTTAAATTAGTTTAGAGTATCCAGTTTAAGGGAGGATGTTAGTAAGAGTTAGAAAATGATTAGTTAAGTAACCTATAGACTGATTTAGTTAGCTACTGTTTGTGTTAGCTACTGTTATGAGCACTATAAAAAGTGCCCTTACTGTACAAAACAAAGTAATTAAAACGCGAATTTTTCAGAACCTTCTCTTGTTTTTCTCTCTGTTTCTCTCAAAACTCTCATATTCAAGTAAAGTCAGACTAAAATACGTGCACAACGGCAACAAGAATTTTGAGCTGCCGAGAATGACACCTTTAACAACAACATTCCTGTTCTGGAATAGATATACCACTACACGGACTTTACACCATGATTATAATGTACAATAGCAAAAGCCCCCAGTGGAGTATTATTTATACCACCTTCTTCAAAATCCTCTACGCATAATACTGCCTTCTTCAAAATCCTCTACGCATAGCATCAAAATGGTTGAAATTAGTAACAAAAGTGTTGGCGAGAGCATGAAATAACTTTTAATTACTAATTTTGACCCCACCTCATCCAAAAATTGGAGAAATGCCTCATGGAAGGGGGTGAGAAGACTCAGGCTTCAAAATAAGCTCAATACAATACAAACGCTCTAGCAACTTAAGTTGATAATTCTAACTAGCCTAATAATTAAAGAAACTTAGCAAGCCATGATACAGTAGTACTCCCCATTGAATATATTAAAAACCAGTTAAACAAACCACTTCAATTTTGAAAAGGCATTGCTTCCTCTAAATGATTTACGAAGGGCACACCAAGCATCAGTAAAGAGGTATCAAATGTATGGGGATGTCTCGGCCACCGTTAATGCTGCATTTTCCTCCACACATTCTTTCAACTATGCTTCACTGTATCCCGTTAAAGCAAACATCTCAAGCACAAATCATATGGTCTAGGACACAACAAGTGCACTCAGAATTGGTCTAGGACATGACAGAAACATCATATCCAAAACGGTGTAGTCACCCTCAAACCACTAGGGAAAAGAAGAATTACAACTGTTCAGTAACAAATGCTTCACAATAGGAAGACCACTAGTAAATACTGCAACACTTGAAACCTTTTTTTTTTTTTTTTTAAATCAGATGTCAAATAACTATTTTATCATGTCTTGGCAATAACAACCTCGTTGATGCAGCCATAAACTACAAACTGTGCCATAAAAGACCTGATTACAGAAAATTCACGTGCTAACGGCCTGAATTCAGAGCAGCCATCTCCTAATTGGGGGATAATTCTCCTCTTCAAGATAACAACTATTCTATAAATGCAAGGCCAAATTGGGACACCAGTCCAACAAAGGAACTCCCTATATTGCATTGATCTTCAAACTTTGGGCAGGCATTACAAGGGTAACCAAATATAAGATAAACATAATTAATTGCATGATATAAGAAATAAATTAACTGCATTCTCGATTTGAGTACCGCCCTTTCTTGAAATCCTTAAATGCATGGGAAACTCACATCTAACTTGTTTGTTCTTGCATCATCATCTTGCAATTGAATAATATCAAGATAGCATCCAGACCAGACCTCTTATATCTCACAATACAAAGAATTAGGGTTTCCAAGCCAACTCAAAATGTCAAATTAAGAACAAAGAAGAAGGAAAAAAAAAAGGGGATATTTATATTTATCTTCAGTTCAATCAGGACAAATGCTTTTACAACTTGCAACTTCTTGCAGAAAAACAAATTGAAACAACAAGAATTAGGGTTTCAAGCCAACTAAAAGAAAATAATTTAAAAATCAAATTAAGAACAAAAGAAGAGAATGGGAGGAAATAACATTAAATAGGTCTTCAAGATCGATCAGGGCTAGCGAATTATACGATTTGCAACCTCCTGCAGAATAAACTACAAAATTGAAAAACCAAGAATTAGGGTTTTCAAGCCAACAATTAGAACAAAAAAATGAAAGAAAAGAAAGAAAAGAGAGAGAAATTACGTTATGGGTCTAATATCGATCAGACTGGCAAATTTTACAATTTTCAACTTCTGCAGAATAACAAACAGCAAGAATTAGGGTTTCAAAACAAAATAACTTAAAGTCAAATTAGGAACAACAAAAATGAAAGAGAAAGAAAAGAGAGGAAATTACTTAAACAGGTCTTCAAGACCATTGAAGAAATGGAAAATAGTTTTATATGCGTCTAAGTCACAATGAAGAGAAGGAAGAGAAGAAATGAAGAGAGGAAATGGTGCCAGGAGACACGCAATTTGAATTGTCAATTAACGGTAAATGATTAATGTTGATAAATAATGAATATTTAAAATGAGGGATTAACGATCAGAATAACATTCGAGTAACATTTTTTTTTTTAATCACCAAAGAAAGCCTCCCTAAAAACAATTCTCATCAAAATTGCCTTCTAACACAAAGGTCTTCAGTTTTCTCTCCGTCCAAACAATTTCTCACCCATCATAGAAAACTTTACAAATTCTCTTCCACCCAAAACTAAGAATCAATTACAACAACAACCACCACATAATTAAACCCTTTCACCGAAATTCATCACAAAATCCATAAGCTATTTTCAAATCCATAAAGTCTACAGAGAGTATCAAATCTACTGTCACCAGATATGTCTAAGAGATCTGCTCAATTCGGCGCCACAGCCGAGATTTGCTCACGGTGGCGCCACTATTGTCTAGATCGCGAGCTGCTACATTGATGGCTGTCGGAGCTGCTTAGCAGTGGCCATGGAGATGTTGCGACAATGGGATTGCAAATTTGGTATGGCTTTGGTTCGGATATGAGAAGAAAACATTAGGAGAAGAAAGAAAAGAATAAAGGGAAAAAATAGGAAGAAAGAGAAGAAAATGAGAAAGAAACTCATCAGAAAAGAAGAGGAGATGAAGAAAAGAACGGAAAAGAAAACATGTGCTTTCATTCAGCCTTACAATTTCAATTTTAAATTTTGGTTTTTGTATGTAACATTCTTCTCGATAATTTCAATTTCAATTTCAAATGGACATTAATAACATTTAATGCTTGTAGGGAAAAAAATAATTACTAATGGATGACAAATAAAAGGCTGCATGGACGCCACCTCAGCAAAGTCAAGAACCATGCAATGAGCATGGCAGCATAAGTTCCACATGGTAAACCGAAGAATGAGCCAATATTCCCTATCATTGAAATTCGTTATAGAGTCTAACGACATTCCACCACAAATCTTTCCCTAAAAATTCCCACACAACAACTCTAAAAAGCAACAATAGGTGCTTGTACATTTTACTTTGTGGAAATAGTTTTTGTTTTGGCAGATTTGAAAAAAGAAAAATGTTGAGAGAATAGGTGACTGGGATGTCAGGGAATCCCCAGGCCAAGCCCGACTTAGCCCGCACGGATGTAGTTACT